ATCTGTCTGGGATGGCTTTGCCTTCTTGGCTTGAAAATTCCACTGCACACAGCTCGGGATTTGTTTTTGCTTTGTTTTCGTGGTGGGGGGAGTGAGTACCAGGAATCAAACTTGTGCTTTCCAGGCAGGTACTGCACTGCTGAGCTACATCCCTGATCCCAGATTTGTTTTCCACAAGGCTTCCTGTTTCCTCCCAAGTTGGTAAGGGAAGTTATTCGAGGTTATTTCTTTTTGGAATATGAGACCTCTTTCAGTGCCTTGCATTTGTGAAATGATTGCCTAAGTCCAATTTCCAAGCTCCCTTGTTAAGTGAGCCTGGGTTTTGTCCCTACCCCCTGTACCAGCACAGGCATGATATTGTCAAAACTTATCCACAAAGTTTGCTCCTAGACCCTTCCTCCAATCCCACTCCCATCTCCAGGCAGCCATGGAATCCACTCATTTCTTGCTGTTTAATTTCCCTCTCAGTCTCCGGCCCAAGGCTATTTGCCTTTATTTCTATCAAACATATGTATATGTGTATGTGTATATGTATATGTACATGTATATGTATATGTATATGTATATGTATATATGCACACATTTTAGTTTTAATTGGGTTTTTTTTACCTTTTTAAGAATATTTATTTATTTTGCTTATTTTATAGTAGTGAGAATGGAACCCAGGGCCTTTGTAATGAGCCACATTCTTCAGTCTTTGTATTTTTTTATTTTTAGACTGCTTCTAAGTTACTAAAGTGCTCAGGTTAGACTTGAACTTGTGACTCTCCTGCCTCAGCCTCCTGAGTGCTGGGCTCATGCGTGTGCCACCATCCCTAGTGGCTTTTCTTCATGCTTAGGACAAAATGCAGCATCCAACAAGACACCTGGACCCTCAGCTGAGACATACAGTTCCCAGGCCAACTGCTCCCCGGCTTCAGGGGAAGTTCTGATCCTCTCTTCACTTGGCTGGTTCCTTTTGTCCTTGAAGTTCTGGCTCAAATGTCTCCTTCTCACACAGCACCCCTGCCCAGCCACTCTCTGTCACGTGATTTATTTTCTGTGTGGTTGCTCATCACCACTTAGAATGTTATCTTGTTTATTTGTTTGCTTGGTTGCTTGTTGTATGTTCCCTTCTCTGGAATATAAACTCCAGGAGGTCACAGACCCTGCAGGCATCTCACAAGTCCTCCTGCTTGAGGAATGAAGTCTCTGAAAGAGTTGCAGAGTCTAAAACTGTGGTCTCCAATATGATAGGCACTAACCCTGTGGGGCTTATGAGCGTGGAAAGAGATGAATTCAAAATGAGCTGTGCACTTACTATAGACAGCTAAGGCAGGTAGAAATATTATAGGCAGCCAGACAGGGCTAGACACTCAAAGAAGCTGGTGCAGAAGATGAGAAAACATTACAATGCTGGATGAAGACACATTCATGGAAGGCCAGGCCTTCCATCAGGACCAAAGCTTCTGGAGGAGAACCAATGTCTCAAACAGCAACTCCTAGAACCCACAATGCCTCAGTGCATTAACACCTTAACGCTTTAATGTCTTTCTTCTCCTCCACCTATTTATGCTGGCAACTTTCCTCAGGTGGAGCATCTTTGCTCAGCACCATGCTGATGTAATCCAGCTGGCATTAAGTTGACCACCAGTTCTTAATCCATTACAGAACTCATTTCCCATTTCCATTTGTTCGGGTGTATCAGGAGGCGTAGAAAAGAATAATGACTTGAATTCATTCAGCTCTGAGCGACAACCGAGCTCATTCCAGACTGTGTTGAGGGATGGGCGATCTCACCAGGGAAAAACAAACAGCCAGGGTCAGGCTTTGTTCTCAACGCTACTCCTCAGTGTTGACGACATCCCTGCTGGGTCCAGCCTCAAGGGAAACAGCGGGGCACTGATTGACAGCCATTAGGAAAAGGGAATGGAATATCTCTGATCAGACATCAAGGCAGAATCTGTACCAAGCAAGCCTCAGAGCTTGTGAGTTCTCCAGCTAGGAGGAAGCCTTGCTTTGAGGACATGTGCTGTTTGTGATTATCTGACAGGCTTCCGAGCTATTTAATACTACTCCGGAATTAGAATCTTAACAGGACGTTATTGTGTGCTACTTGCCATTTGTTGACCATGTGGGCAAATTAGTTAAGCTCCCTGTCCTTCTTTATATGAAAAATAATAATAATTGCACCTGCCTCACTGAGCTGTAAAGATGAGATCTAGCAAGTAATGGACCTAGAATGGCGTCCAGCACACAGTATTTGATGGAAATTCATGGTTATCATTATTGCTATTTGTATTTTACACAGAAACATTTCTATAAAAAGAGCCTTTCTATAGACAAAATTCTTAAATTGAGATATCACCTCCAAGCCATTTCCGGGTACTGGCGACAGATGTATGCTGAATTATTTTGCAAAAAGAGATCCAATCTAAGAAGCTTTCGCTGCTATCTACAGCACTTTTTCATTTTTGGCCACCCACTATCCATTTCCCTTCCTCAAAGTACCCCAATTTCCTTTTGGAAAATAAAGCACTCCTCCTTGTCTGTGGGCAGTAAGTTCTGGTACCCCTCCTCATAGTCTGGGTACAGACATAGGAAGCCCATGGGAGCACATCTTCCTGGGAGCTGCCTTGTTTTCGTGATATTTTCCAGATCTTTTCCTTTGTGCATAACTTGGGCTGTTTCTGTTGCTTGCAACTGAGACCTCTAATACAAGATTTTAGTCCTCCCTTTCCTGTCTTCCTTGCTCTCCACTCGTCTTCCCTGCAAATGCCACCAAAATATAGAGCAGCCCACATGGTCAGGGAGTCATACTTTGGCAGTTCTTTCTTGAAGATAAGAAAATATTATATACTCCATTAACAAGCTAAAATGCCAGGTCTCTTCGGCTGCAACTGGAACGTTATGATCAGAGAGATAAAATCGTTTATGGAAATTAAGCTTTTCAGGGAGAAGGATCTGGATTCAGATCCTGCCACATTCTGCTGCAAGACCTGTGTAATCCATCTGCTCATGTTTCCTCGTGTATACGTACACATGAGCACACACATATATATGCATCCACATGTATACTTTAAGACATTTATTTTAAAGAATTAACTCATACAATTGTAGAGGCCGGTAAGTCTGAAAACTTTCATTTAAAGGCAATTAATTGTAGATAGTTACTATATCTATAAAATGCTTTCACAATACCTACATGCATGTTTGATTAAATAACTAGGCACTACAGGCTTATTAGCTGACAAAACTAACCATCAGAGGGATCATAACATCACTTTGCATCCTTCAGAATTAAACACGATAAATGTGTCTGAGGTACTTAGCACATTGCCAGACATCTGGTAGGAACTCAGTAGATGGTAATTTTATTAGCTGAGGCCAAAAAAAAAAAAAAAAAAAAAAAAGGGTAAAATCATCCCTGCACCAGCATGCACCATGCTCTGTGCACCAGCCTCTCTTCTAAACGCTCTGCAAATATTGATAAAATCCTCCAACAATCCTAAAAAGTAGGTAATAATATTCAGATGAGGGAACCAGAGGTCCAGAGACATTACATAAGTTACTCAAGACACACAACAAGCACGTGGTCACCCAGAGTGCGCACTCAGCCCCTCCGAGTCAGACTGCAGCTGAGTGGTCTCCAGGGCATGCAAAGGCAGTAGGGTGCCTTATGAAGACCAACCACGGTTAAGCCCTTAAGATAAAGTGCATCCTGCCTTGCTGCTTTAAGGAAAATTCCACCCCGTCCCACAAACACAGCCAGATTTAACTGTCAGCATATTTTAGAAAAATATTTTAGGATAGAATATCACACTCCCATCACCCTCCACCCTCCACTCCCACTGTTTCCCCAGGATGATAAAAAGCCAACACCTCCCCATCTAAGAACACTTGGCGGAGGCCTCTCCCCACACAAACAGCGTGATTCCTCCTGCCCACTTCCACTGGCAGCAGCAGGCAGTCAGCAAACTTTCCAAACAAAGAAACATGGAATCAGAAGTAAAATCGCCTGTGAACGCGGTTTTCCGGGAGCGGATGACTATATAATACCCTAATCAAAAAGTTGGCATTCACATTTGCATTTAGATAAATGCTTGTTAGGGAAGAGATGGGAATAAAAGGAAGCCCTGAGACTCTAGGTGCTCTCCCAAGCCCAGTCGTCACTGTCACGTGCAACAGCCAAGCCGGAAGTTGCTGGACACTGGTCAAGCCCAGGACTCCCGGGGAGGTTCCCTGTGTGCACAAGCTCAAGGGCGTCCCAGCAGTTCCCTTACCAATTTGCAGTTAACTGAAATACCCTCTTACTGAGGTATCTTTTTCCTCTTCAAGAGTGTGCTTGGTCAAGATCAGCCTGGACAGCCCAGCAAGATCCTGTCTCGAAAAAACTTACAAACAAAAAAGTGAATGTACTTGAAATCAAGGACTCAAGTTCTAGCACAGCAAGCAGAAGCAAGGCCCTGGGTTGAGCCCCAGCGCTGACGCTGTCCCAGCCCCCCAGTAAAAAAAAGTATACCAGAAATTTAGCATTTAGTAAAATTAACCGCCATATAAGATGTTTAAAAATCAAAGGCCAAGGTGTTTGAACTGAGGCTTGTTTTATTTGAAGACAACTGTAACACATAAATGTCAGGTAGTATTCCCAGGTTCTTCTTGCCTGGCAGTCAGAAACCCTACACAAGCCAGGGGCCATGCCTGGGGAAAAAACCGTGAAGTCTAAAAACCTTCTCTTGCTGGTGCTTAACATTCTCTCTCTCTCTCTCTCTCTCTCTCTCTCTCTCTCTCTCTCTCTCTCTCTCTCTCCCCTTGCTCCTCTCCAATATTTCTGTTATTTTTCTCTCTCTCTTCCACAGAAAGCAGACTCTAGGAGCCCCTGGCCTAGATATTGTAGTTTTCTGTTTGGGCAAACAGCTCCTCTGCACAAAAATCTCAAAAGCTATTCTCCACTTCATATCAAGTGGGGATTCACATTGTAGACAGGCATGACCCTGGACCCAGAGGATTAGCTCACTGGTATTTGAATGATACCTACCGGTTATGCCCTGGGGTTTGGCTGTCTCCCTTGTCTTTATCTGTCAATGTCAGCATCAAATTAGGGAGAGAAACAAAATAGGACAAGCCAAGGGCAGCTTTTCTGGGAGTTATGCCAGGCTGGCAAGAGGAGGCAGACAGCACAGTGTGCCCGCAGGAGGTCACGACTGGGTCAGATGAGAGAGAAAGAGGGCGTGCAGAGCCCGAGATGTGCTTTTGAGTCCAAGGACCGAACTAAGGTCAGAGGTTGTGGAGGTAAATTGGACTCGCTGCTCAAGAATTTAAACTGGGCGGGAGGGGCGTGGTCTGAGCATGGGATACTCAAGAGAAAAACTGACTTGACAGGCAACTGTGTTTCCTCAGGGCTCTGGATGGAGAAAAGAATGGACCGTGTGACTTGTAACCCTGCACGTTTCTCCAGCTTCCTTCCCTGATGACCCCTTCAGTGCCACAGATGCCTGCAAGACACTCCGATCCCATCCCTCAGTCATTTCGAGGAATTGAGAGGAATTTTCAAGGGGAGGGCTCTCGGGTAAGTGCTACGGGGACAAGAGGCCTTGTTGTCCCTCTCCAGGTTCCTTTTGGCAGGATTACCTGTTGACACCTCATGCCTCACAAGCTTCTGCACCATCTGTCCCCCATGCACCCAGGCACGGGTCCCCATCCTGGACCATTGCAGTACCCTCTGTGGTGCTGGTCTCGGCTCCTGGGCCGTGCCACGGCAGCCACCTGTTTGCCACATCTCTGCCAAAGTGCTTTCTCTGGTGGTGCAGCCCAGCTCTGTCCACACAGCAAGGCACTGGAGAATGGATATCCCTCAGCATCCTTCAGCCAGTGACTGAAGGTGGAGGTATAGGTACCCTGCCTTCCTGCTCTGCAGGACAAGGTCATACTGGCTTCCAGAGTTTCCCCAGGAAAATTAGGCTGCAGTGGAACATAGAAGCTGTTACAGGCAGCTGAGTTAGATAAGAATATTACTGGCAGTCAGATAGGGCTGGACCCTCAAAGAAACCAGTGCAGAAGACCAGCTGTCGGGGAGACAAACATCTCCCGCTGTGAGCCAGGCCTCAAGACAAAAAGTCAAAGAACTGCACCCACATCCTAAGGATAAACACCAGGGATTGATAGTCTAAGTGGGTCTCTATCACCCTGAGGAAACCAAAATCACCAATCCACTTTGTGACCTGCCTCACTTTGTGGTTTTGCTCTATAAATACATTCTGCTCTTAACTTCCCTTATTCCTAAAATTCATTCTCCTGTTTTAGAAGACACAAACTCGTACCAGACAACTAGTAGGTTGGGAATTTCTTTCCCCTATATCAAGGTAACGCACTTGATAATGCATTTTGCATTGGTTGCTTTTCTACTGTCCGCCACTTTGCTACATCTCCATTGGTGCTTTCAATAAACTAGATGCAGTTGAAAGTTTGACTTCAACTATGCTTTGATTGATTGATTGATTGATTGACTGATTGAGTTTTGATCCAGGTCTCGATACATAGCTCAGGTTGGCCTTGGACTGTATAGCCCAGACTGGCCTTGAACCCACAGTGATCCTCTGCCTCATCCTCCCCAGTGCTGGAATGAGTGGTGATTTAAAACCCCTCCCAGCCTTTCTTCCTGCCATTCAATTGTTGGTTCTGTCTTCGAAGTCTGAGTGGCCTTTGATAAATTAATTAGAGCAGATCTCAACCCTGCTGAACTGTCCAGAGCTCCCATGACACACAGAGGGGGAACGCAAGCCTCTTACGATGGACTGCAGCCCTGTACAATCTACTGGAAGTGGCCCCTGCTCTCCTCCCTCCACTCACTCTGCTCCAGTACAGTGGCCACCTTGCCTGCCCAGAGACATCTGAGTTCCTGTCTTTTCAGGCCTCTGCTCCAGCTTCCCTGTACCTGAAGAGCTCCACACTGGAATCTCCAGGTGAGTCCCTTTTGTCACGGTTATTCACGAGCCAAATTAAAAACACACACACACACCTCCCCCAAGAAGTCTTCCATGGCCACCCAACTTCAAGCAACTTCATCCCTACCCACCATTCTTCAGTACTTATGGTGAACTAAGCTCTCACAGACCTGTTTTTGTTTGCTGATTTTATGCCTTCAATTCTGAACCCAGCATCTCGAACATTGTCCAATACACAGCAGGCACTTAGTAAATCTTTGTGGAATAAAGAATAGAGGAGAGGAAAAAAGAATTGAGTTAAAGTAATGCACTTTGGCAGAGATGTGGCAAACAGGTGGCTGCCGTGGCAAGGCCCAGGAGCCGAGACCAGCGCCACAGAGGGTACTGCAATGGTCCAGGAGAATGATCGGGGAAACATTTAGGGGAAAATTGATGCTTGCACTTGATTATTTTATTTTATTTTTCATGGCAGTGTGGGGGATCGAACCCAAGTCTCATACAGGCTATGCAAAAGCTGTACCCCTGAACTACATCGTCAGCCCTGGATGAGACGGAAGTGAGGGAAAGAGGGAGGCAAAGCTGATGTGAAACCTTGGAGTAGAGGCTGGGGGATGCCGTTTACCAGTACAGTGAGCACCACAAAGGGGCAGCGTGCTGGGAGAGGAACAAGCTAGTGTGGATGTGCTGGACAACAAGCCATGGACATTCAAAGGTGGATGTCCAGCAAAGGGTTAAAAACATCAGCATCAACGTAGGGAGGAGACCAAAGAATTAGACATGGAAACAATCAGTGAGGCACAGCTGAGACTGGGAGAAAACGCCATCCCTGGAGGGAAACAGTAGACGGGGAGTTGCAAGCTCAGGTACCATCCAGGGCAGGGAGATAATTCAGATGGACAAAGTAGCACAGACAAAATCATACGGTGGTGGCAACTGCAGTGAGCACTGAAGATGATGCACCACCTAAACAGAGAGCGGCAGATCTTCAGATCAAACATTAGCTAAACACTGTGGGACCAGAAAACCAGGTCGGTCTTGTGTTTTGAGACCACTAATGAAGGATGAGGAAATTAGTTTCCCTGTGCCTCAAGACCCTGAGGACACCAGCACTTCTGGGGCCGAATGAAGAAATGCCAGAAGACAGGGAGGAGGACACCCCGCAGAAAGTTAGGGTGCTGCACTCAGGAAAGTAGTCAGTGTCCTCAAACGCTGCAAGTAGGTCGTATGGAGAGGAATCCAAGGGGCTCTTAGGTTTGACCAGAGGAAGGTCACTGATGGGCTAAGCAGGAACCACTTCGGCAGCAAGGGCAGTCAGACCGCAGCCAAGAGAATTTCATGAGAAATCAAGGGCAAATGAGTATGTGGTAATGGTAAGAGGAAAAGCCACCCATCCAGAAAAAAGGATGATACAGAAAACCCAACACACCATGTAAGTTAGTGTTTACACACTCATTCCCAATCAGTAAAACACCAAAAGTTACCAACACCTGACTAGTATAACAGATAAAGAAATTATGACATATTTCTATGATGGAACATTAAACATCAATTAAAAAGAACACACAGCTGCTACATGCAACATATAGATGAATCCCACAGAGATAATGCTGAGTGGAAAAAGCCAGGCATGAAAACCTAGATAATTTGGTTATATAAAATTCAAGATCAGGCAAAACATTCAGAAGTCAAAATGATGGTTGCCTTCATAGAAAGAGAATTAACTGGGAAGGAAAAAGGAACTCAGAAAGTGGGAAACATCATCTATCTTGGTCTGGGTGGTGATTATAGGCACATACATATGCAAACGTTTCCTATGCTGGGCTGGGGATGTAGCAGAGTGGTAGAGCACTTGCATAGCATGTGCAAGCCTCTGAGTTCATTCTCCACAGACTCCCCCAAAAACCTTGTTAAACGTTTGTATATACATGAAATGTTTGCTAATTATACCTCGGACAAAATAATGGGAGGACCAGAGATGTGGCTTGGTGACAGAGCACTTGCCTGTGTGTGAGGCCCTGGACTCCATCCCCAGCACTCCCAAAACGAAAACAAAAATGGTGGTGGTCAGAAAGAGTAAACTGAAGAAACAGGAAATCTTTTAGAAACAGCAGAGTTCCCAACTTCCCACTTTAGGCCACTGTGGACATTTTTGGCAAAGAAAAAAAAAATGGGGATTTAGCTTAATGGCATAAGCGCCTGCCTGACAAGGGCAAGGTCATGAGTTCAATTCCTGGTACCAAAAAAAAAAAAGATGGAGAAAGAAAGAATCTAGAAGCTAGATGTGGTGGTGCATGCTTATAATCCCAGCACTGTGAGGCTGAGGCAGGAATATCCCTGTGAATTTAAGACCAGCCTGAACTACCTAGCAAGACCCTGTCTCAAACAAATAGATGAACAAAAGGCTAGCATATAGGATTGTTGAGACTGTTGAATGCGGACGCCTTTTGTGCTCTGGGTGAATGATTTGGGAATGGCAGTATGCAGTGTCTGTACCACTGTTGCCCCACTGATGTGTTTTGAAATTTTGTTGTAATTTTTCTTCTTCCTCTTTTTTCTTTCTTTTATCTTTGAATAAAATGGATTTTTTAAAAAAGCTAACAAAATTATTTATTAATTACAAAGGAAAAATAATAACTTTATAGCAGAGAAAAACTAAGTAACCAAAGCTAGCATCCCCACTCCTGGAACAAACTGACATTATGTGCCACGTGGAGACAATGCACTGAGAAGGACACGGGGATGGCCTCAGTAGTGTTTCTGCCCAGAATGTGGAACCTGACCCTGATCGTGAGGAAATACCAGACAAGCCCAGGTTAGGCTCACCGTACCACATAACTGGATGGGGTTTTCCAGTACTGACAGTTGAACCCAGAGGTGCTCAACTTCTTGAGATGCAGTACCTCCTCGGGTTCATCTTTAAATTTCTTCAGATTAAACACTGGTTATGCTGAGCATGGTGGTGTATGCCTGTAATCCCAGCTACTTGGGAGGCTGAGACAAAAGGACGGAAGTTTGGGGCCCACCTGGGCCACTTAGGGAGGCCCCGTCTCCAAATGAAAATAAATGAAATGTTAGCTCAGTGGGAGAGTGCCGCTGGATTTAATCTTTACCACAAAACACAGAAATGAAAGCAAAAACAAAATGTCAAGGCAAAAAATACAACGAAAGACTGAGGATTAAAGGAATTTAAAGTGAAATGATCATTTAAAACAGTGTGTAGGACTGCAAGTATAACTCAGCAGTAGAGAGTTTGCAACCGTATGCATTCAATTCCCAGCACCTCAAAAAACAAAACAAGGGCCAGAGATTTAGCACAACAGCATAAGCGCCTGCTGACAAGCATGAGGTCCTGAGTTTGATCCCCAGTACCGGAAAAAACAAGAACAAAGAAACACAAAGCAAGGCGGTTTGTAGTCCTGAAATGGATGTTGGACCTGGAAAGATATCTACAAAGGACATTAGTGTGACAACAGGAAAGAATTTTGAATATTAACCATAAATTAGGTAATAGTCTAGTGTCAAATGTAACATTTCTTGGTTTTGATAGCTGCTGTGGTTATATGGTTGTATGATAGTTCTGACATTGGAGTATTAGGGAGTGAGGGGGTCTGACATCATGAAAGGACTTTTCAGTGGTTTAGAAAAAGTGCAGGAAGAGCAATTGAGTGAAAGAAAACACATGGAACCAAATGTGAACAATTGATAACCCTGAGTGAAGAGGCTGTGTCACACTATTCTTGCAACTTTTCTTTAAGTTTGTGATTGCATTAAAACAAAATATTATCAAACACACACACACCAGGACCAAGAATGCAACTCAGTGCTGGAGCACTTACCTAGCATGTGCACACACAAAACAAAACAAGTAAATAAAAAAGACAAAGCAAGGCCAGACGTAGCAGTGCCCTCCTGTAATCCCAGCACTCAGGAGGCTGAGGCAGGAGGATCGTTGCAAGTTCAAGACCAGCTTGCGCTACAAAGTGAGCTCAAGGGAAGCCTGAATTGCATAGTGAGACTCTGTCTCAAAAAAACCACAAAAAAGACAAAGCAAATTATGACAATTTTTAAAAACAAAACAACATTCTGATTACACCTTTTTAAAAATACTTTAAACATGGAGAGGCTGAGATCTCCACCCCCTCTCCTTACACTTCTGCTGCGGAAACCAAAGGCCAAGGCCAGTGCGGGGAGAGATTGATGAAGAACAAACAGCTTTCCTTCCAGGTAATGTGCTTGTCTTGGCTTAGGTCAGGAAAGGAAAGGGGCACCTGGAATCCAGCACATCTGCACAGACAGCGAAACACTGCAGAGAGCCGGAGAACAATCTGCGGAGACTCCTCATTGACCTCAGTGTACAGAATTCTCTTCAGTAATAGTTCAAGCACACAGCACACATAACCACCATCTCCCCACCACCACCACCAAATAAAAAAACTTGCAGCGAAGGATGAGCTGGAGATGAAGGTGTTGTCACCTGGAGGTGACAGCAGAGTATATGAGAGCAGTTGAGGTCACAAATCTTGGAGCTACTTCATTCTGGGTTCTGACTGATCCTACCACCTAGGAGATGGGTGGCCTTGGACAAGTCCACTTAATCTCAGTCCATTTGTCTTAAAAACCAGCGCTTTCTATTTTACTTTACAGAGCTATTGTGAGTAATCAATGAGACAATAAATGCCAGATACTCAGCACGGTTCCTGGCACACAGAAAGAGCTCAATGAATGGAAACAAAACTGTTAAAAATAATAACAGGTAATCATAGGAAACTGTGCTTAAAGAGCTGGTTGAGGCTGAGGAGTTTCCTAGGAGTAATTTACCATATTCCCTGAATTTTTATCCCATGCCTAGCACATAGGATACTTGATCTCATTTAAGTTTCACAACCACCCATTGAGATAAGTATTTCCATTTCACAGAAAATAAGACCCAGAGTGGCTCAGCTGTTTGCTGAAAATCACCCCAATGAATGGAAGTTGAGTCTGCTTTAGAAAGTCAAGCAACTGTGTTAGTCACTTCCTTATCACTGGGACACAATACCTGATTCCCACAACTTAAGGGAGAAGTGGATTTTGGTTCATGTTTTTAATTTATAGTTGGCCACTTCCAAAGCAGGAAGGCATGGTGGGAAGGTCTTGTAGGAGCAATGTGGCTCACATCATGGCAGAGAGGAAGCAGAGAGAGAAAGGATGAGCTGGGGAGAGAGATACACCCCAGGACCCCACCTCTTCTGACCAGGGCCCACCTTCTAATGTCATACTTACCTATGGTGCTCCCATGATTCAATCATCCTTCAAAAGCCCTCTTATGAGTGCATGAGGCTTCGGGGGAAATCCAGATATAAACCATAGCAGCAACCCAAATTTGATTCAAAGACAAGAAGGTAGTTATGCACAACCAGGTGTCTGCCTCCAACATGATCCTTCAGCTGGTTCTTGTAAGGTCCAAATTCTTTGGCTGAGGATCCACTGAGTTTCAGAGTCAAGGGAGCCACCATGACTTTCAAAGGATCCAAGAAAGCTATTGTCTAAAATGGTCCAGCCTGAGTTCTAGAAAGTGAGAACACATCAGTACTTACATAAAACTGGGCCTGGTTTCTGCAGAAAGTAGTACCCTTGGCACAGACATGGTAGTTCTCATCACTGGGCCCTGGCAGTCTCAGCCGTGGGCCCTGGGTACAAGCAGCCATACATCCTGCCCTTATCAGCAGGAAATGCCTGATAACAAGCCTTAGAACAGGAGTATAGAGATGAGGGGAGGGAAATAGGACAAGAGAGTAAGACCCAAAGGCACCTATTAACTCCAATACTAGGGTTGTCATTACAGTGACGGAGAATCAGCCATGGGCAGGAACCCACTGTGGGGTGGAACAAAGCAAGAACAATCGTGCTTGATGGCTAAGGAAGCTGAAGTGGAGAAGAATGCTGATCCGGGCATTGTGTTGACCCAGACAGGAGACAACACCTGGACAACCTAGTTTTTACACTAGCAAAAGGCTAGGGTCTTATTTGTTTAACAAATGCTTGCAAAGACATTTAGGTCTTTGCAAGCAGCTTAGAATGAGGAGTGTCTCTCTCTTTTGGAGGACCTAGCAGGCCTGGAAGGGCTTTCTTAGGATGACTCCTCACTGAATCTCAAATGCACTGACCCCTGCCATTCCCACAAATATGGAGAATCCATCTGCCCAGGCAGCATCTCCACTTTCCTGTGTGTTTCCCACTGGCTGGCTGGTTTTATTGATTGGCTGGTTCTGAGACAGGGTGATATAATGAAGAATACTAGTCAGAAATAAGGCACAGGTCCCAAGTGGACCCTCGGACTGTGGGTTATTAATTTTTCTGGCCTTTCATTTACATATCCACAAAAACAAAAGTACCTGAGCCTGTGACTATGACAGCCTCGTCTCGTTCAGATACTCTAAATCTGTGTCTCCACACAGGACCTCCCTGGAGTCCTAAGGTTTTATTTATCCTCACACAGACTCTGAGTTTCTGCCATTCACATTAACTTTCAAAACTGTTCCACAAATGTTTCCATGTCCTTGTGGAGTCATTAAGGATTTGAAGAAATAACAAGATCAATTAGGAAAGCTCAAGAAATGGAGAAGGAAATGATGTTTCATAAGCAGTTTTAGTCTATATAAATACTAAATTTTTTCTCTGAAGTACATCACAAGCAGGAGCAGTCTTTTCCCTCTGAAGGAGTCTGTGTTTCCTGCCTTCCACTCCATCCACCCGCAACTGCCCCTCCTTATTATCATCAGGTGACTCCTGAACCAGTAGGATGGCCTCGCCACCTCATGTCAAGCTTGGAAAAAGAAGCGTTCTAGATTGTTCTTTCATCAGCTCTGCAGGACAAACCGACATTAGTCTCCCATTTGTCACTTTGGTAAGTGTGACTGGTACTGACACATCTTCATTAGTCCCATTTCTGTGTTTGCAATTGCTCCTGCCAGTGGTCCAGGTCACTGGATGTCAGTAGTTCTGCTGTCTGAGTGTAAGGCAGAGCATCACCTGAGTATGCAGATGGCTGTTTAGGTCATGCCCATATTAGAGCATCCGCTGGTGCCTAAAATTTCATCTTTGGGACCTTGTATAGATCAGTGGTCATAGCTGCATGTGGTTTAAGCAGAAGATAAATTTATAAAGGATAAAAAACTTTATAAAGGATATTGGTAGCTCAGAATCTCTGGAGACAGAGGAGATAGAACACAAGGTTTGAAGGCTGTACAGAAAGTGTCCAAACCACACTGGGACTCATCTGTGATCACCAGGGAGCTGTTATTTTTAGTTTCCAGGATAGGTAACAAGCTCTACTTGCTCCAAAAGTCATTAGGTAAAATTTGTCCAAACATGGGAAAAGGTTTCCAGAGCTGGAAGCCAAGAGAATAAAAAATATGCACTATAGTTTCATCCTCTGGTGGGTGGTTGCTTTTGCAGTGCTAGGCATTGAACCCCAGGACCTTGTACATTCTAGGCAAGCTAATCTACCACTGAGCTATATCATCAGCAGTTCCTCTTTTCTTATTTTGAGAGAGGGTCTTGTTAAGTTACCCAGACTGGCCTTGAATTTGCAATTCTTCTGCCACAGAGTCTCAAGTACCTGAGATTTCAGGCATGCAGCACCACACCTGACTCATCTTTGGTTTCTGTAATATTTCTGAAACATTTATTTTCTCCAGCAGCCTCAAAATTGCAGTGGAGTCTCCAATTAGGTAGAAGGAACTGGCATTTACTGAATATCAATCTTTTGTCTGGAAAATTCACTTATAATATCTTAAACATTACAATAACTCTGCCATGAGGATCTCATTATCAGCATCCTTATTTGGTATCATTTTATTATTTTTTGAAGATAGCTTGTGGGTTGAATTATGTTCTCCCAATAATTCATGTGCAAGTCCTAACCCTCAGTACCTCAAAATGAAGGCAGAGTCTTTATAGAGGTAAACAAGTATAAATGATGTATTAGGATAGGGCTTAAACCGATATGACTGGTGATCCTCAAAAAAAGCAAACATTTGGAGATACTTGAATATAGATGATGGCAGAGACTGGTTGATGAATCTACAAACAAAAGAATGCCAGTAGTCTCCAGCCAACTAGAAAGTGACATGGAATAGATCCTTCCTCATAGCCCTCAGGAATAACCAATGCTGCTGGCATCCTGAGCTTGATGTCTAACCTTTAGGAACAGAAGACAAGAAATTTCTGCATAAGCCATCACTTTGTAGAATTTTGCAATAGCAGCCCTAGAAAACTATAGCTGAGTTATTTTTTTCATTCCTGAGATAAAACACCTGACACTCACAAGTTAAAGGAGGAAAGGTTTATTTTAGTTCATAGTTTGTAGAGGTTTCAGCCTTTAGGAGATAACTTGGGTGGCTCTCACTGAATACAGAACAATTGCTTTAGCATTAGTAAATCCAAACCCTGTCTCAACATAATGATAGGTACAGAGCTGGCTATGCTATTTCCTTTTCCCTTCAACTGGCTTTAAGCATTGCAAATAAGGCCAGCTAAGGTACTAATATGTAATTCTTGAAGGCAGCCTACAGTTTTCTGTTTCCTCACATTGTGTTTCCTATAAATAATGGAGCACAGCAGGATGGCAGAGCCACATAGCTCCAAGAATATCAATTGATTCGAGCCACAAGATAAGAGGTTATGACTTCCCAGCACACAAAAGTTTACATATCAGAAACTAAAGCAACAGCCTGCTAAATCATTTAAATACTACCTGAATTGAGTTATGCAGATTGGTCTTTCTGCATATCCTTCTGCTTGCATACTGCAGAGGTACTTGTTCTCCACCTGGCCAGCTCAGCTCACATTGCTCACACAGTTCCTGCCAACCTCACAGCCACTCATCCTTGAGCCACTCCCTTCTTCACAAGATAATAAATTCTGAGTGAGGCTAGAATGGAGGCCTTTGTTCTATGTATCCTCACCTGGACCAGATTCAGGACTCCTTGGCTGCCCACAAATTTGAATATGTCTTAGTGTCTTTATTCTCACCATAGGTTGCACTGGAGGTGGTAGATGGAATTAACTTGCTAGGATTCCAATAACATTTCAATGAGATTACAAATATCAAAGTTCTCAATCCATGAGGGCCAAAAAAATGAATTACAATGTTTAGATGCACTATACAATATTTGGATTACAATATTTTGCCCCCAACTCAAGTCATGAGGAGAACAAAAAAGGGATTACAGGATTTGAGTTACAATGTTAGTCTATGATTGGTTGGCTTCAAGACAAGGCAGCATGGAGAGGGGTATCACAGAGGAGAAACAGTCCATGGCAGAGCAGACAGAAGAGTGTAATGAGCCCCGTTTTCCTTTTTATTCCATCCAGATTACAAGCCTATTGGATGATGCTGCCTATATCTAGGGTGGGTCTTCTGATTATCCACATCCAGAACTACACTAAGCCAATCAATCGACTAACCCAGTTATCACACACCTTGTGTCGCACATCCATGACCTCCCAAAAGCCCCACTTATGAGTGCATGAAGCTTTGCTGGGATGTGCAGATATAAGAAATAACAAATTAGCCGGGCGTGGTGGCTCACGCCTGTAATCCCAGCACTTGGGAGGCTAAGGCAGGAGGATTGTTGCAAGTTCGAGAACAGCCTGGGCTACAAAGTGAGCCCAAGGCCAGCCTGAACTGCATAGTGAGACCCTGTCTCAAAAAATAAATAAGATAAATAAATAAATAAATAAATAAAATTTAAAAAAAGAAATAACAAACTAATATAGCAATTCACCTAAATCCTCATAGTAAAGGGGAAACAGAACCTAGTTTGAGCCCAGGTCTGGCCAAATCTAACACACCAGTTCTCTTCAGTATATCATCATTCCTTCTTACAGAAAATATTGAAATGGTCTGTTGCCTAGGCTTAATGCTGATCAAAGTTTGGTGGGAGAGCAGTATGATTCATGCTAAGTTCAAGACTATCTGGGTGTCGATGGATAAATGAATCTGAAGTTCAAGGGTCTCTCCAGGGTAAAGAGAGGCAGTCAGAGTCATTAACATGCAGATGATAACTGAAACCTTGGCCCTACCTACCATAATCTTGATTTTCTTCTCCCATAGTAATAGAATCTTTAACTGATCACATGGCCTTCCAGAAGATTCCATTTCCCAAACTCCCTTGCACCCAAGTATGACCAAGTTCTAGCTAAAATAATGTCAAGTGTCAGTTTCCTGAAAATTCCCATCAAAGATGATTCATGTTCTACATTTATGATTTCTTTCACCTTTCCTGCATCTTTCCCTCTGGAATTTAGAGGCTGCCTTGAATCACAAGGATAAAGACCATTTCTGAAAAAGTGGTGGTTCACTGAAAGAGGCCTGGGATCACGAAGACTTCCTGAAGTAGAGACTGCAGGTATCTGGATATTTATATGAGTGTTAATCTACTGTCATTGTCAGGTCATTTTATTCCAACTGGCATAGCTGGTAAATACTAGGATTTAAGAGGTGGCTATAAAAAGAAATAGAAGGGGCCAGGCATAGTGGCCCATACCCGTAATCCTAGAACTCAGGAGACTGA